GGGAAATGAGAAACCCTACTCACTAGTTTATAGATTACAATATTCACGAACTCTCTAATAATCTATAAACTCGCGAGTTAACAAAAGTGAGGTACGAGTCTCTTCTTATAATAACAGATTGATTGCAAACTATCGATCGTCGTTTATATTTGGGATATTAGCTGTTTCTAATGGTTACTAGATGGATGCTACGAAACAGTGTGGCTGCCCAGATCCGGCCTCCAGACTGCCGGGCCAACTTATTTTGCAGGATACTGTGCGATATGTCCTAATAAAAAATTTACGTTATTTTTTGAAATTATCAAAAATATTTCAGTTTTGTGATTCACTGAATTATAGATTAGTTTAAGATACTTTAAAATGTTTTAATTGTCTTCAGAGAGTCTTGTAACGCATCGTAATTCTACCCATTAGAATTCTATAAATTACTAACACTATAAGAACGACATACCCTTCAATCACGCCTTAATAAAAGATATTTAAGAAGTGTAGCAGAGCTACTTGTGTGCCCTTGCCTCAGACACTAATGTAAATTCATTAAATGATATATTTAAAAGGTACAGTACATAATTTCAATAAGTGTGGAAGAACAAATTGGAAACAGTAACAAAAGAATATAAAGATTGTGTTAGAAAGCCAACATGAAATTTGATAAATCTTGGTTGCTTGTTGTTCTCTATTATATGTTTTTTCTTAGCACAATGTTGCTGTTGAGAACATATCACACAGGAACACTTTCAGAGGAAAAAGGTTGTTTTATTGGAGTGGACGGATATGCATTTCGGGCTGTGAGATAGTGACTGTCACTATCAAGAGGAAGAGACTGAAGAGAAGCATTAAGCCCGAAATGCATATCCGTCCACACCAATAAAACANCCAGCATAGTTTAACTGCAGATTACAAAAAAGGAATTGGTCGAAAGCCCAATGCAGTCATGAATAAAATAATACCATGTTGAAGATCAAGAGGAAGAAATTGTTTTAGATTTACCAGCTGCTACAGTAGATGCAACATTTGTACAAACAATCTGAAGAACCTTTAATTAATGAAAACGTAGTAACAAACAGCGGTATTACTCCTAAACATATGAAGTACTTTACAATCTTTGATTTACAAAATCGCTATCAAAACTTTCAGGAATTACTTTGAAGTGTTGAAGAATGCTTGAATCGTGTGAAATAATTAAATAGAGTGAGTGCGTGTGAAATTCCTAGAGGGACGATACTGCACTTTAAAGAATAAAATTAAAATATAATTTAATATTATGAGATATTAATATAGTGGTCGGCGATGAAACAGAGAACATGCAAGCGTTGATTAGTTCGATGAATAGTGAGCGTTTTCTGTTAATAAATAACAATGTATTCTCTAAATGCCCATTTGTAATGAAAATTAAACATAACAATAATGTAACAAAGTTACCGAAAAAATTAAGAAGTCATAAATATTCAAAATGTAAAAATAAGCATGACCTAAACATATTTGTTAACGTGGAAACACAACGCGCTCTTCTTTCATACTTCAAAAACTTGATGCTCGCATGATGACAGATGATATATCTGTGCAGTTTATGGTTATAAATAACGCGATAGCATATATGTTTTCGTGTTTTACATTAGTGCAAGCATAAGCATTAGTGGGTTCATTCGTTGAACCAGAGAAGGAGTCAACAATGGGACTTACATAACATCTACAGTTGTCTTGTTTTAAAACATTTAAAGAAAAGCATAAAAATTGGAGATTGTAAACTTTCACGTTAGTGTCTTATGATTAAGTTTAAGATTTCCCTTACTTAATTCGTTGTAAATGATTTCATCATACAACATTATACTTTACATCATCGGTACGATACTTACAACAAGAAAATTGATAATATGAAGTTAAATTTAGAAACTAGCCTATATGCACGTCACATTGGTCGCGAGAGTGTTTTTGTTTATTTTTCCCCTTTCTTATCTTTATAATCTCTGGGCATTAAGGAGGTCTTTTTCTATGATTATTGTGAGTTAGGCGAGGCTTACAATGGGGCTGAGGAACGAGGGCCGACATGTCTGGAACATATCAACTTGAATTATTACTGGTATTACTCGCCTGGATTCGGTGCAGGATCTCTCATAGTGGTAGTCTGTCGTCTTACCTTCCTCGGCCATCCCGGCTGCGAAATGTTAATTTAATTTTGTTACATACTCCAACGACTGCACAAAGTTTTTGATTTAGTGTGACTGAATATGACAACGCAACACGTGATCTGTCAAGTGTGACTCTCGGGAGGACTTTATGCGGGACAGTGACTCCTATTTAGGTGTTGGACACGTGAAGAAAATTTCGAAAACTGTAGTAGCTAGCCAGTTGGTCAGGTACGAAATCGCGACAAACTAACTACCGAGCGGTCAAGGTGGCAGCCTACCGCTCTGGAGGACCCGGGTTCGAATCCGAATGGGTCGAAAAATTCCCAGGAATTTTTCGGGGGTGGTCCGTTCGGATATGTCGGACCCCGTCCCTCACCACCCGGCAGCCCCATTGTGAGCCTGGCCGAACCCATAATGTGTTTGCAAAAAGAGGCCCTCTTAGTGCCCACAGAGCGGAAAGAGTAAAAAAAAAAAGGTTCAGTGGCTTTATTCATTTAGCCACTGGTGAATCCACAGTAGTCTATTTCGTAATTGACGATCTAGTATAAGTAACAAAAACAAGCAAATTTCGGCTCCTTTGTCCTTATCCTCGTAGAAGTTTCGAAAGTATTTACGACATGCGACATTATTTTTATATAGATTATTATGAATTTCACCTGAATACGTTCTTCAGGGTTACGAAGAATTGACCGAACATTATCACTTTTTTTATTTCTGAAATAGCCTAAGACATTATTTGAAGTTTTTTATACCATAAAAACACGCACAAAAAAAACAAAATTAGAATTTGGAAGATACCGCTTGGCCATAAAGTTCTCATTTCGGATAAATTATCAAAATGGATGTAAATCATCCATTTTGATAATTTATAGTGGATCATAGTGGATTTAAGGAGTCGAGTTAGGAACATCAATCCTTCCATACTGTTGAACTAAAACAAGAAAAAAAATGTACTGATGCATATTCGAACGACGTGGTTACTTAGATCACATTTCGACTCGGTTCCTAGGCTTATAAGTAGCCTAGGAACAGAGTCGAAACAATCTTTCGAGCCAAGGATACCATCTACAGAACGTAAGTTTCCTATGACCATCGACATCTAATAATAATAATAATTTTTCTTTTTCGAAAAAGCAGAAAGAATTATCAGAAATATTATCTAAATTATTTGAAGTAAAATATGAAATTCGGACGGAACGAAAGAGGCGGAAAAGCGTTATCTCCATTGCTTCGTATACCAGACTCTATACTCTTTATTCTTTTAATAATGATATTATTGTAGAAATTAGTTAATTGCTACTACTACTACTACTTAAGAGAGTCTTTAATTTTTAAAAGTATTTAAATTCTATTTTCAAAAACTACTGAATAATTTTTTTCGCCGATACTGCAATAATAATAATAATAATAATTTAAACTGTGTCGTTTAAAAAAAGACAAGCAGTCGATCATTCTACTTTTCCACTTTATTTGTTAGCTGTTTTTTGCATGAAAATATTCCTTAGACTTTTTATCTGAATCGTCTCCTGTCGGTCGAGGTCGAATAAATTTTATGAAAAGTTCTTACGAGCGAAAGACATTTTTTTTATTTATTTAATAGCTTTGAAAAGTTCGCTTTTGTTTAGTTATCGCAAGAATAATCACGGATACGAAGAATGGTTCCTTTTTCTTTCGTTTCTCTTCGACTTTAACCTTTCTTAAAGCTATCGACATTTCATATCACCATCCGAGTGACTTTCCCTCCATTTCGTATTCTTCTTTAATAAAGACATTCCCCTCATTTCTTAAATTATTCAAAAATACCGATTCGGCAATTTTGAAGAAGGGAAGAGACGACTAAAGTTACAAACATATTTAAGCCATATATTAAATTTAAATGTTATTTACAAGCAATCCGAGCCTGATAAATATAAAAATCAATTAAATATTTATATTTAGCCAAATATTTTTAAGGAATTTCCCTAAACGACCGACAAAACGAAGAATATAAAAATATGTCACCCAATTTTTAAATACTTATTTATTTGTTATTAGAAAGAGGAAGACTTTTTAATTAGTATTGTTTTTTAGAACAGAATCAATCGAACGGATGAATAAATTAAATTTTAACCTAACAGGTTAAAATTTCGAATAGGGTAGGTCATATACTTTTCAGCCGATTTACCAAAATTATTCGCGTGCGTAATTCCATCCTAATCACTTTCACAGGGGAAGAGATTTATACAAATTGTAAAACTGAAAATTTCGTTCGATACGACCTTAGATTATTTGTATTTTCGTGATTATAATTATATCAGATGTGAAGTGACACCGATATCCATCGCCGCATACATCTAGGTCAACACTCGGTCGTTTGTAGGAAAGAGAAAGAGAAGTACTTTTTAATACGGATTATCACTGCCGGTGTCAAAGTGACTATTAAGTCGAACAGTGGACGGAATTGGGAGAAAGGTATGTCGCTCCTCTTCATTTTCTCGTATCTAACATTTACGAAATTTAATTTTTTTAATATAATATACTAATATATTCAAGTTAAGAGAAAATTTTTTAAAGCTACACGAGACGATTATCATCTTTCGCCACTCCTGGTGTATTCGAAGGTTAAAAAATAAAATAAAAGGAAAAAATGTAGGGTCCTCTCGATTTTCGCTGTTAGCGTCGTCGAGGTGGTTCGATGACCCGGAGTGTTTCGAAGCAAAGCACGCTACATAGGATTCCATTTTATTGTCTATTAGTCGAAACGCTTTAACTAAACATTCCTTTCCTCCTGCTCCTCCTCCCGTACTCCTCGACCCCGAATCGAACCGGACCAACGCTGTCTCGTACAGATTATTTTTTTAACGTTTTATTTTTTACATAGAATTATTTTCCTTCGCATTGCATTTTTAGCTTTGAAAAAGAAGAGATGCTCCATGAGCTCTTTTTGCTCCTAGTTGCCGTTAGCTTTTTAATGACGTCGACGTTGTCATCGGAAACGGTCCGTGAACGTCAACGTAAGTAAAAGTGTCTTTTGTTTTAAAGAGAAACGAAACCACCAAGACGTTTTGCATTAACTGACTGTTCATTATCAGTTTTCGTCGTCAGGAGGAGGCCGCCTTATCAACTAGTCAACAACGTCTTCGGAAGAGTAAACGAATGTCGAATGGTCGACGGGTCGTTGGGAGAATGTTCCCACATAGCCAGATGCACTTTTATGTTATTCGACCTGCGAAGGGCCTTCTGTTTGAGAAATTACCTCATTCCGGGAGTCTGTTGTCCCGTTAAGAACCAGGTAAGATTAGGAAAAGAAAGGTAAACATTTTATTAGGAAAATTTCTAAATTACCAGTTTCGTAACGATAATTTCTGCCGTTTATTATAAAACCATTTGAATATTCGTAAATTACCTTCTGTATTTATAAGCGAATTACATCGTGTTTTAAAAACGTTATGAGACTTAGGCTACAATTTCTTTTTAGATTTCGCTCGGATTAATTAGCCAAATCTATAAAGAATGGCTTACATAAGTGAAATTTATCTTTGAATTAACGATCAGATGGTTAAAAATTATATACTTACATTTTAGACAAAAGCTTCGCTGGTGCAATCGACTCCTGTTCCGGTCACTCCGACTTCCGTTCCGATTGTCATCTTTACTTACCCACCCGCATTTCAACCCGTAACTGTTCCGGCCTTAGAACGTATGTATTGTTCCTTTACTTTTTATTGATTAAATGGCCGAAAGATAGATCCGTGACACGTTTAAGTCTTTTCTCCGGCCGAGAAACAAAATGATTTTAGGTTTATGGGCGTTTTTCTTTAATTCAATATGACTTCGTCAGATTTTTTCGGCCGGAATGAATTTGAAAATATACAACCTTTCAGCCATTTCGATAAAATAAATAGAAGATTTTTGAAAAAATTCAAGAGAGAACTTAATTGTGTGAGTTCAAATCTTTCGATTACAACTTCGTTTTTATTTTTGCAGAATGCGGAATTAGCAAGACGATTTCTAGAATCGTAGGAGGATTCGAAAGCGCTCCTTCCCAGTGGCCGTGGATGGTATGAGGAAATTCTTAAAATTTCATTTAATAGATTTTATTTGCTGATACTTATTGCTCGATCTTTTAGGCGGCAATTTTCTTAAATACTCATCGAGGGAGAGAATATTGGTGTGGTGGTGCTCTGATCGATTCCCGATACGTCGTAACGGCCGGGCATTGTCTATCGGATTTACGAGAACAAAAGTGAGTATAACGATTTTACTACGTAAACTGTAAACTCCAATATGATATTTACGTAAAGTTGCTTGGATAAATATTTTGTAAATAAGAAACAAATCGATACGCGTAAAAAAATTACATGTTACGAATTACCTTAATCGGATTTTAGATCAATTGATTCAATTCGATTGACAACAAAACGCTCAATTTCTGGAAAAGTAAATTGCTCGAACTGGTTAACTGATTTAACTGTAATTTTGCCGAATACGAATATTTGTCTTTTTACAAAAAGAAAGAAAAAACAATTTGGAAAGTGAAACATTCTGCCCAAGTTTAACGACATTTTAGAAGAGGATCTCGACATCTAATCATTTTAGTAGCGGTTGTTATTAGTGAATGCATAGGGCTGCAAGCATAAAACTTAACGAACCGCACAGTTAAGTAGGGCGAACGACCAAGGTAGCCCGTTTGTTGATTTTGACCTTACAAAACGTCTTATCCGAAAAGTAAGTTGGTCAACATTGGTTTTCCGAAAGTTCGGAAAACACGCCAACTTGTTGCTTTCAACCACCAATCAGAGAATGTCTCAGATGATACTAACGCCAATTTATGAGTAGGGAATAACTATATCTGTCATAACATTCCCTTCATTTCTTTCTTAGTTTTGGATTGCCAATAAAGAAAAAGCAATAGCAACATTTCTGTTGATGGAGGTAGTCAATTTTGTTTGGAAATACCGTATAACGCGACTGGTTGCTAGAGGAAAATGCTGCCTAGTGTTCGCTTTCTTCACATTGTCGAGGAACAAACACGTCCCAAACAAGGTCGGCGAGCAAAATCTTTTAGTGTTTGCCACGCTTTACCGAGCTTCACCGGCATTACAATTTTTACTTGATTAACATATGCCATTTCTCTAAATCGATAATACAGTAAGATCCCGCTTAACGCGGGTGATGCGTTCCTAGACGACAAAGCGCTAAACGAAACAGCGTTAAANTTAAAGGAAAACACGCGTTAAACAATAGGCAATCATTCACCGATTAATCAGATATTTCCTATTATTTCGTATTCGTATTACTAAAAAATAAATAAATAAATAAATAAACGCCCATAGGGAATTATTTATTTGAAAGCGCTTTAAATTAAAAAGGAAAATTAAAGGAAAATTCTACTAACTATTTTACTGGAAAATTGTACAATATTGGAACCAGGATCCGGGTTAACAGTTTTAACGTTTTACTCACTAGAACGATAAACCGAAATCCTCAGCCGTTGACATTTAGGTTAAACCGGTCACGACGATAAAGCAGAAGCCAGTAACACTTCAAATCCGGGAAATTTTAATATTTTGCAATTCGTTCCATGAATTAAATCAACAATAAGTCAAACATTAATTAAATTGATTGTTCATCGCTTCTAGTCTCATGGAGAGACAGCACGAGTCCTGGTAAAGCCTCTGGGCCCTTCGGTCCTTCAGTTAATCATATTTCCCCACCTGCCTCGTCCTAACGGCTGAATCGAATCCGATCCGCCAATTCTTTAATTTGTGGAGAGATTTTTGCCATATTTCCTTCTCCACACACCACAAAGATGTGTCCCTGTAAAGAAACAAATTATTCACTTAGTTATTTGAAATCGAAACGTTTCGAAAGTTTAAAGGAATGGACTTGACCAGCTGGCAACATTACGTAAAAAATGAGTAAGACGCGATTTCTTTACCTGAATTCTCGGTATTTAGAAATGATTGTTTATCTAATCGTAAATCAAAAGATTTGTTTAGGAACGTAGCGGTTGAAATTTCCTTTTATTCCTTACAGAAGAGAGTTTCACGTTTTCCTCTAACAAATTCTTGGAATGTACTCGAAGGATGTTAATCGAAGGAGCGTTTTGACTCGCGTCATCAGGATGGACGTGTCGACGGATTTAGTGAGACGTTGTACGAACAAATTTGAACAATTTCCGAGCATTGGTCCACTCCGGCAAATTAAGTGCTGAAGTTTATATGCGTCATGGAGAATGGGGCCCGGGGCGTTGAGAAACGTCGCCGGACCCTGGAGAAAAAGTTTGCATGGGCCCCAAAGTAAATAAATTATTTGTTTAAAGTTATAAAGTTGGGGCAATTTATTACCCGCTTCAGATCTAATTTTCAGCGCCGTCCTTCTACTGTTAATTAGCGAGTAAAAAAACAAATTCTGGGATGATGTCCTGGTCCCTGTGAATCCTGGACCCGGGAGATTTTACTCCATCATTCCCACTTTCTCGACTGTGATGGAGGCTTTTAGCTATTAATGATTCGAAATCTTTTCTTATTCGGTCTTAAACAAAAACGTCGATTTTGTCCAAATTATATTTATTTAAGTTCTAATAATTGGCGGATAGAATACAGATTCTCGACTCCATTATAATCAGTGCAATGGAGCGTGAACCATTGGCAAAAATCGAGCAAAAAGAAAATAATGAAGTAGTGAATTCCAACGGAGCCCATTTTTTGTTTCGTTGGATTCCGAAGATGAAACCACAGTGGCCTGATGAATAAAATCATCGAACACTGATAGTTCGTTCAGGTTTCGAGCTGGTCATATGGAGTTTTCTTAATTTTTCTCGTGTGTCTGACACACCTAAATAGAGGCCAGTTTCCCATAGAAAATCTTTCCGGGAAGTACCCCTCATGGCAAATTGCTCTCCGATTGCGTTGGACCAAACCATACCCAGATGATGGATAAATTTAACAGTATTTTATCGGCAGACGATTGTCGTTAACGATATTTATTTTAACTAACAGTTTCATAAATTAGTTTCACATAACCGACGATACACAAATTCAAAATAAAATATTTAATGAGGACTTTTGCTTGTTATACTCAAGGTTCTTTAGAACATTTCTACGTTTTACATATTTCATCATGTAAAACTTAAATATCGATTTCAATTAAAGGCAGACTCCCGAAGAGCTATCCACAGGTTTTTTTTTACAATTTAAATTTTTACGAGACGATATGAAATTGATTCCTCGCGTCGTATAAATGTCCTTGAACGAATTTACGGTTTCCTTTCTCATCCTGAATTCGGATCGGCAGATATTCCGTCTTTTACCACTATCCAGCATATATGAGACGAAATGGTGCCAACCTTCGTTGGTCGATGACCCTCTCGACAAGATTTCCAGTTATGGATCGAGCTTGGATCCTGCTTTCTGTCCTGAACTTCACTGTTCCTTCCGAACGAATGGACACTGATTCTTTTGCAGGATAGAAACGTCTTCTTTTGCTAATGAGTTGCTAATCAGATCATTTGTTTGGATTTTTTGGAAGGTACCGAGCGAAAGAGATGTCGGTGCGGCTGGGAGATCATCACCTATTCTTCCGGGGAGAGGACGCCAATCCGGTGGATTATCGCGTGGCCAAAGTGATTCAACATCCGAATTTCTCCAGACACGGATTTTTCAACGACATTGGACTCCTGAGGCTGGAAAAGGAGGTTTCCTTCGACGATAGAATCCGACCCATCTGTTTACCGGAACGAAACTCGTCCGGAAAGAATCTGGTGGGAATGATGGCCACCGTTATCGGCTGGGGAACAGTTAATTACGGTAAGATGCTTGTTTATTCTTAACTATGACAATATATTGAGAGGGTAACTATCATACATAGGAGGAGCCAGCAGCGGATCTCTGCACCAGGTGAGCATTCCGATTTGGGACAACGCAGACTGCGACAAGAGGTATTTCCAACCCATTACCAGAGGATTCGTTTGCGCCGGATTCCGTGCTGGGGGCAAAGACGCCTGTCAGGTATGATGAGTTCATGAGTCTATGGACGTGGAAGGTTCCGGCCGTTCTAAACTGAGTTATTTTTCAGGGAGATTCGGGAAGTCCTCTGATGCTTCCCGATAACGACAGAAGATGGACTATCGTGGGCTTGGTGTCGTTTGGCAGCAGATGCGCCCAAGAGGGTTATCCGGGCGTTTACACTAGAGTCGACACGTACTTGGACTGGATCCGAAACCATACAGGCAGATGACGTTCGGGTTCCGCCTTCTGGGAAATCGGAAATTAACATGGCCGAGAGAGGCGATTATAAATTTAAATTTTTAGATATTCTCTATGTTTTTATACGTTCCGGATACCACATAAAGTAACATTACAAATCGTTAACGAAAATACAATTTGTAAAAATTCGTAATTAGACATCAGTGGCGATCCAGTCTTATTTTTATTTTTTCATTTTATATTATTAATCTTTTTTGTATATAGATTAATGTATAAGTGCGGCGGTTCTCTTCGCTACAGACATTCTAACGGAAATAAAGCAATTTTTGCTACACGTCCTTTGCGTCTCTTTCTTTTAAATGGATCCGCGCGTTCCGAGTCGAATCACCAACATTCGACGATCAGCCGCACGCGAAGAGTGTTTTAATTAAAAAGAGCATAGAGTTACATAGACAGAGAGATGTCAATGGAAGGCGGAGATTTTTGTCCTCAAAGACGCAATTGTTTTATTACGGGCATTAACTGGGTAAAGTAAGAATAGAAGCAAAATGATGCTCCAACTCGTTGCAATCTCGGAAAGTGAAAAAATGGAAAAGAGGAGGTCAGCTACAGTCAGCACCAATCTAAAACCGAAGATAAAAAGAAATGTGGAAATAAATTATTACAAAAGTTGCTTCTAGCCCTTGATATAATAATATCAATTAAATTAAAATATCCACAACCGTGAGGCAGATAATAGTGAGGGCTTATCAGACCAGTGGTCTGATAAGAAATGGTCTGATATTAAATGTGGAAATGTTGACAGCACACGAACATCAAACGAAAAGCACAAATTTCTAGGAAGTTGCTACATAGTTCTCCCCCCCCCCGATATTTTCTTCGTGCCGGGTACTTAAATGTCAGTGAAGTGTGAATTGGAAGTGTCCTACTCTCATTTATCAAGAAAGGTTTTAGAAATCACTGTTACTGTTCTTTGTCCGAAATTTGGGTGAGATTACAAAAAGAATTACTGTAATTATGAGTCTTCCCAAGATCTTTCCGGGTCGAGACGACTAATACGATGTATGCGCGGTGGATAGTCGTTATGTTGCCAACTCTCCTGGACTCGCCGAGAGACTCCCGGAATTTGGCAAGACTATCAACTTTTGAAGTATAGGCTTACATTAAAACAGACTACAGAATGAGCGATAGCATTTTCATATTGCTGAGAGTAAAAAATATTAAATCGCCCGAATTTTTTACTTCTAAAATAGAAAACTCCCGAAATTAACGGGAGTTGTCAAACTAATGGCCACCGCCTTCATTCCCCACTCATATTTATACCTGTCACAATCTTCTGTCGGGCCGAGTTAAACATTTTGCTCATCATCACTTATCGTGTTTCTTCCTAGCAGCAACTTATGACCTGAAAAAAAACCATTGATATTTTCTTTCTTTTCTCTCTTTCCATGTATCTGCATAACTCGTCAGGGACGGAATGTCTAAAACTCTCTCTACTTTCTAATAATTACGGTGCACATCTTATACAAGTAATCGTTCGTCAGTGAATTGAATCGCGCTGTATACAGGTAGGCGGAGCGAGGAAGACCCAGAACCTTGATGGATGACGGAACAACGAATCGGGAGAAAGACCTATTCGTAGTTTACTTCCGTTAGAAATTTCAGTTTCGCTGATGCGTATTGAAGGTCGTCTAACAACGTTCCGTTACAGTTCGGCAGTTCGTAATATATTTGACTGTTACGAGCCGTTGGAGTCTAATTGGTTCTTGCTTATACGTGACAAAAACAAAGGTAAACCTTATGCCAGAATGCCAACGTGTATTGGAAGCATTTATACTCTGTAAGTTAATGACAATATGTATCATAATTTCGATTTAGTTAAATTAATGAGTTAAGAATTAAATATAGAAAATAGAAGCGAGAAACAAATCGTTCGCTACAGACCTGTAAATTTTCTCCGATCTCGGGGAAAAATTCCCAGCTTCCTGTCTCTCGACAACCGTGCTGAATACATAGAGCGTTACGAACCGACAAATAATTGATGGCGTGGGATATCAGCGTTTTATATCGGAAAAAATGGCGGTGCGATAATCAGATTTTTTTAGCGTTTTTGGATTATTTTCGGGGCACGACATTGTTTCGTGTTAGAAAAATGACGTTTTACTAATCCGGAAGGTGGAACCAACGACGGTTTAGGAAAACCCACACAGATTTTATCTCCTTATTGGATGAACCAAATCGTTGTTACCTAACGAAATAAATCTATTCGGGCTTAGATGATGCCAAATTTTCCAAAGGAAACGGATTATTACAAGTAGAAGTAAAGAGAATCTGAACTCTCAAAAGAATCAAACATTCGGTGCGTTAAGTGCTTCAAAATTCGGTTCCCCATATCTGGTAGATCCCAGTGGCCCTCTAATCGTAAATAGATTTAAATCTATCTGCCTAAATTATTTTCGAAGATTCTTATGATTATCAATTTGCTCAGTATTATTTTAAACGAAAATGCTTTCATTTTTCTTTCTTTCGATTATGTTCTATTAAAATTTTTAATATCAAGAATAAACAAGCTTAAACAACTTATAAAGCTGACAATTTTTACAAAGATTTTCTTTTGAAATATAAAAATATCATGTTCAGCGGTTGGCTTCGGAAGACCCAGTCCCTACCATCTACATAAAACAATTACGGAATTAAAAGCTACCAAAAGTATCCTTTGATATTGATTTAATCTGTTTTTCTTGCGGAAAAAGTAGGAAGGTGAAGACCCTTTACTTCTCTTTGGTAACCATTCCGTCCATAGTTTAAGACATTCGACTGAAAACAGAGAAGGAAAACGCATTTGTGTTCGACAAAAAGGTAGTGGACGTTTTCAGGTTATTAATTTTCATTATGCTGGCACCGATTAACAATATTCCGGTCTTTCAAATGCTTTTTCGTCTTAGATCGTTCTCTTCCAACTTCCATCTAGCATCGATGCTGTCTTCCCTTTCGCGCCGACAAAATGCAAACTCGATTTCTGAGAAATTCGGAATTTTTAACGTCTTTTTTCTAGATATCGTCTACCTATTTTCGATTAAATTCCAATTCGTATACAGCATTAATCAAAAGTTAAAACGTGGTCGATAGTATCACCGTTGATCGTAGCTTCTGTCTAACGAATGATGAAAGTAAACTTCCTTTTAGCGTTTCTTCGGACAACACTAAACTGCGTCGTTTCTATCCCGGATGTTACGCAAGAATATAATTCCCGGAGACGAGCTCTTAGCGAGAATTAACGTCCGTTCGCTACTGGAATCTTCTTTCCATTCGCATCCTGCGGAAGACACCTTTACTCTTCAACCTGCAACTTCTTATTTTTTACTGTACAGATACATATTTTGTTTCCCGATTTTTCGCCATCTTTTCACTTTTTCGCGGCCTAAATTCTTGCTTTTCGTGCCATTCACGGATTAATTTACCCGGAAACTAGAATATGTGTTTTACTTTACTCGCGTAATCGTCGGCATTCGGTCCTTACGTCTTTCTTCCGAATCGGATAGAAGACGATAGAGAGCCAAAAATCGAAAGGAAATCGTTTCGAGTGAAGATATTTCGGCTTCTTTCTTTTGGAAATGGACGAAAAAGACTCTCGACTTCTTTGATGCAGGGGCCAAAGGCGATGCATCAAAGAGATCTCGGATAGGGAATTTTTTCTCTCCAAACTCGTTCCGAGAGTCGCGCGACCTTCGCTCCTTTCTTTTATATCCTTGACGTGGCCGTTTGTTGTTTTTCCCGGTTTCCTCGCGGCTTGGTGACGTCACTCACGCCTACTCGGAAACGCGTTGTTCCGTGATCGCGCTCAGGCGAACGTCTTCCCTTAATAAGCGACAGACGCGCTCTGGGGCAGGTCGTCGATTACGATACTTCATCGTTGTTTGTCGTTTCGTTTCGACGAAAGAAGAATGAAAGGCGACCTAGTGCTGTTTCTGCTCTTCGGTCTTCTGGTCTTCGTTTTCAGTAAATATCCTCAGTTTCTTTAAATTAATATGCCTCATTAAACAAGACCTATTAAACTGGCTTTAAGGATCTGCAACTCAGTTTTGCAGTATCCTTAAAGCCATTTTAATAAGTCCTGTTAATAGATACGTACTAGTAGACGAAATAATATTATATTATCCTCAGTTTCTATTTTAAGCTTGACGATTCTCTCGATAATATGTTTCTTTATTTTTCTAGCGCAGGACGTGCGGGTGACTTTTTCCCGCCAAACGACCGGTGACGACACGGAGGGAGAGGAGGAGGCGTGCGTGACACCCGACGGAAATGATGGAACGTGTCGGCCCTTGGTCCGGTGTTTGTTCTCCTTGACCAATGTCAGCGACGTCGAACGATTTTCGTGCTCTTATCAAGGGGTAGAAGGGGCGGGAATCTGTTGTTCGCCCTCCACCGACCTGGCACCCAGAAAAGGTATGTTGTCTCTTTTCTACGTTAATTCTATCTGGTCAACGATTCAACTTCTCCGCTTTTTTCTGGACAGGAGCGGCTAGACCGACAGAATTCGATCCCGTGCCTTCGGTGGATATACCAGAAATTACGCCCCGAGTGTTAAGTGCCGCGGCGGAAGAGGGTCGTCGGGTTGTGGAGGAAATCGATAAATTGGAAGAAGAGTTAATCAAACTAGGTAAGAATTGGCTTTGCATTAATTAAGGAAAGATTGTTTCCGGTGGTGCCCAATTGCCTGCATCTGTATTGCTCGGAATCAGCTTCCAGAAAGTGAATTTATGGACGCTCCTTTTGTCCTTTGAATGCCTTCAGTCTGTCATTTGTAGTTGAAGGAGACTTTCGGTATTTCTCCTCGGATTCGAAGAACCTAAATCTACGTGTACGAAAATGGACAAATCTGAATTAACTTGGGGCATTGTCTCGTGACAGGTCTGACGGTGAAGAGCGGCACCAAAGAAGCATTCCATCAGGCATTCTTCGGTAGCAAACGTCGAATTCATGAGATAGGCAAAAACGGACAGATCGCTGTGGAAACTTCCCTGCACCTGGCCAAGAGGTAAACGTACTCTGAAGTTTATTTTGAACACAATTTGCAATCTCCGTCTTCAAGTTCCATTTCTTTCCGTTCGAAACGAAGCACGATATCTGATTCATTACTTTTTTCATCATCGAGTTCACCGTCGTGAAGGATTCGGGATCGAACATTGTCCAAACCAATATAATTCATCGCGGGCAGCAGACCCTGAGGCATCTTTCTCCGCCTCGATCACGCGGTCGTTTCAGGTCTGATCTTTCAGTATTATATATTTTCAGTTAGCATCTATTACGCGTGAAAGATCTGATGACGAAAATACAATCCGCCCACTGTGAGGATGTGGCTTCGAATTCGAGTCAGCTAAGGAATTTTCACGGGACGTGATGAGTGGCCGCCATCCTTTATTGGCTACTCGGACACTTCCATTACGAATCTCTAATTGCCCACAGTCTCGAAAAAATATCCTCTAAGTGCTGAGGAGGAAAGAGCTAGAAAGAATTAACAAATAATAAATGAATTTAAAAATTGAAATTTAAAAAAATGACACTTCGGAAATATTAAAAATATAGGTGTTTAAACAGTTAAACGGGAAATTTTTTATTTACTTTTGTAAAATATAGTTTAAATCCTGAATAAGCATGCGAAGACAATTAACTTCTATTTTGAATTAAACTATGCTTATAATATAATAATTTATGAAATTTTTTGGATAAAACAGTTTAGAGCTGAACAGTTTGCAAGGAAGAAGCCTGAAGAGAGTTAGCATAAAGGATACGCCTATAAGTAACACCTGTCCCAAACCTCCTCCCTGTCCTTCTAGCAAGTACCGGACGTCTGATGGGAGTTGCAACAACCTGAACAACCTTTCGTGGGGAAAGTCGTTCACTCCATTTCAAAGATTCCTCCCTCCCAAGTACTTTGACGGTAAGTTACGTTTCGTCAGACTAATCTGCACTAAAGGAAATTCCAACTTAAGTATCTTCCGGTGCCTTCATCTTTTGTCGCCTTCGAATTAAATAACTAATTTTCTACGGTAAAACGGAATCGAACTAAAACCAGCAGCCAGCTTTTTAGGATTTTTACTAAATGCCGAGTGGCCTCTCACTCGGCGTTCATGAAAACTAAAAAGACAATCGTATTGAGTCAAAATTAATTCGTGATATTTCTGTTTCGTATCGTTCCGAATTTCTTAGTATACTCTTTGCTATTATTTAAACGAAGGATTCTAGAAACTATTGCAAACTTTGCAGGAAATAATTCACGTTTTTTGAAAATTTTGAAAAATATTCTTTTAAATATACAAGTTGTAAGGTAGATTTTAAAAATTTTTGGTAGATTACAGTATTATTGCTGAAATCATTTCAAAAGTAATCCATCGTTGCAAGAATTATGGGAACTTGCTCATTTAGCGGAAATATTTCATCTATATGCTATTTGTTGAGATTTAATGGTGCGTGGTTGCAAATAAATGGAGAATGATTATGGATGTTAATGAAAAGATTTCAAAATTTCGATTTCAGATGTGTTTTTAGCAATTTTGCAACAAAAGATTTCCTTGAATCCTTCTCTTATATAATAGTAATGCTGTAATTAAACAGCGCGGGTAAACACCGGTTTTTCCGAGCCATTTGGACAGTGGTTTTGATTATAGAAAGTTGACACAAAAAGCAAACGCTGAATTCCGATTAGTTCCAGTTACTACCTCGAAAGAAACGCGAGAATTTTCCGGAAACGGAAGATATTTTCGGTTGGCAACCACTCGATCTTCCTAACAACACTGTCGAATAAAGTCATCGTGATAAAAATAACTCTACCGGACGACGACTTTTATAGCGAATCATTTATTTATGCAGTCTAGCCACGTTAACACGCTTAGAGCGAATAACTTTGACCATGAACTGTATCCCAATTTCCCTTCAAATTTCATACGAAAAACAATTCTTCTTACTTTTTGACAGGAACACGTTTAACATGAAATCCGTTTTCAATGTTTTGATGACGTATGAAAAATTCTTTTTAATTTTTTTTTCAAAATATTTCTGCTATTGCGCTTGCCGGTTGGAAATTTCAGGGAATGAAACGTTTTAGATCTTTTGTTACACCGATAGTAGATTACGGAGAAGTGCGATTTGAGTAAAGATAGCTGTTTGGTTTTTTAATAGATGAAAGACTAACAGTATTTGTTACCATGAACCTCTTCACCCGTAGAAAACTGATCAAAAACCAGTTCGTTTCATGCCTATGACTAGAATAACTAAACTGAGCGAAAATTCACAAATTCGACTACTTTTCACGTAATCTTTCGACTTATTTATGGCTTTTGGTCACTGGAGACTTTTTGGTTTTACTTTACTCTTTTTACCGACTGTTTTTACATGATTTAGTCTTATTTTAAAAGAGTTTTTATTTTATTTTCTTTTTTTTTTTAAATTATCCGGTTGTGATATCTACTGCGTGTAATTTAAACGCCTGTTGTGGTTCATTTTTATTAAATTTCCAACGTCCACTTCATTAAAATTTTAAACGAAGTGGACGTTGGCAAATGAAAACGAAACGGAAATGCTTGATAGCGCAAATAAGTACTGTACGTTATCGACACGTAAAGGATTCAAAAAAAAATGACGTATTCGCATGAGTAACTACTTTGAGCTTATCGGAAAATGGGTACGAACTGGGGAAAAATAAAAAAATAAAAATAAAATAGCAATAAACGTTTATTCAGATTTTTGGCTAATAATGTCAATAAGACGTAGTGAAGCGAAAATATATGCTTTTCCTTAATTGTTATTATATATTCAGACAGTTGTTACTGACTTATAATGCAAATTACTTTTAATACGAACACTTTTCGTGGTGACGATGAATATTCGTGTTAACGAGATTCAATTGTAGTTCGTTTTGTTAATTTAAAACCGCACACTTATGATAATTCTCGATAAGCGAATACTTCACTTACTAGATGCTCTCTACTCGAGATCGAAATTTTATTTTAAAAATTTACGTTCGGTTTACATAGGAATCAACGCTCCCAGGATAGCAGCAGATGGAGGCCCGCTTCCCAGCGCTCGAGATGTGTCTGACGCCGCTAATCCCGATAAAGATGTGCCAAACGCCATTTTCACCTTAATCATCATGCAGTGGGCGCAGTTCGTCGACCACGATATCACTCTAACTGCCATCACCAAGAGTATTTATCTCCTCTTTTTATTTTTCTTCTTCTACGCCTGTCTCCTGACTCCATTTTCTTCATTCAGATAAAGACAATGAAGGAATTCTCTGCTGCGACCCCAAGATTCAGAGGAATCCCAAACTACTACATCCCGCTTGCTTTCCAATTGCTATATCCAAAAACGACCGTTTTTATTCCAAATTCAACGAGAGCTGCATGGAATTCGTCCGTTCTCTTGCCGCCCCTAAACCTGAGTGCACTCTGGGTAAGATCCTACTGAAAATTATCTAGGCACGGGCAGAGTTTATCGTCTCTTTTTTTTCAACAGGAAGCAGAGAACAGATCAATCAGCTGACTGCTTTCTTGGACGGATCCAACGTCTACGGCTCCACTGAGGAGGAAGCCAATAATCTTCGTTCTTTCAAAGAAGGTAAGAGAAGAGGAACTCTAGGCTCTCGATCACGGAGAAAAATGACCTTATCGATATTTATCAATGCATCTTTCGATTCTGATTATTCTTCAAGGATTCTCAAAAAATGAGGAAACTACAAAACTATATTTGAACATTTGCTGACCGGAAACTAATTTAAAATGTTTCTTTAATCGTTTAAGGTAAATTGAAGAATTTGGAACTACATGGCGAACAATTCTTGCCTCAAGAGCAACACAAAAGCGAGGACTGTGCCATTCGGGAACAGGCTTGCTTTCTGGCAGGTAAAGAGCGAGTACACAAAGTTTTGCCTAAAACTTATGATTGGAAGGATAGAAAAAATTTAATCGGTTGGAATTTTCAGGAGACGAAAGAGTAAACGAGCAAATCAACTTGGCTATTATGCACACGTTGTGGATGAGGGAACACAATCGAGTGGCCGAAGAGCTGAAAAAGCAAAATCCCGGCTGGAACGACCAAATACTATATTTAGAAGCTAGGAGGATCGTGGGAGCTGAAATTCAACACATCACTTACAATGAATTTCTTCCTCTTTTGTTAGGCAAGTGTTTACACGGAACTCCTTAGATGAGTACGTAAAGATAGTAATAATTACTGAAAATAGAATTATTGTATTTCAGGTAATAATATAGTAAGTTCGTATGGTCTGTTACCCAAACCGTACGGAAAAATTTTTGACTATGACCCAGAACTTAACCCCAGCATAGCCAACGGTTTCGCTACGGCTGCCTATCGATACGGTCACACCCTGGTACAGGTAATTCGACGACTCTCTTTCGTTTGCAAAATAAATTTATTAATTCCTTTCATCGAAGCCACTGCCGACGTTTCGTAAAATCTCCTTCGCTTCATCAGGCTTTCGTCGTAAGAATAAACGGATATAGTTTATTCTTGATGAAGTCTTAGGTGTTCCTATTTTTGTTAACAGAAAATCTCTTCGAAACAGGCAATTCCACGGTTTCGACTTTAATAATATTAGTGTAAAGTTAGCGTAACTATTCCGGTATGATTACTCACCACTGCTCAAATCTTTCTTCGAAGTGTTGTTTCAACAAAGAATTTCCCAAAGAGTGAATGTAACTAAAGAAATTAAACTGTGGTAAAGGCTAACTTGAAATGTTTACAATTTGCTTCATTTCGTTTTTAGGGGTTTATCGATTTGTTGGAGAGAAATGGTGAAGTTAAGGAAAAGGTACCTCTTTCTTCTACGTTTTTCAATCCTATACTCTTATATAGACCCAAATACTTTTCGAAATTCGTTCGAGGATTAGTTGGACAACCGGCTCAAAAATACGACAGATTTATAACCAGTCAGGTAATTTTTATTTTTTGTATTTTTTTCCGTAATTTTCTGAATGAGAGTAATCTCGAATGGCAGTCGTCTCGTAACCAATTATGTGTCACAGAAGTTTTTATACTCTGTAACATTTGTCTTTCGTCAACTCTCGTTTCAATTTAATTAACTAAACTTTTAACGAACGTAAAATTTTCGTTTTAAAGCTGACCAACCATTTGTTCCAACCCCACGGTCATCACTTCGGTTTGGATCTGGTGGCACTGAACACTCAGAGAGGACGAGATCACGGAATCCCTCCCTATAACGAATGGAGGCGTTGGTGTAAGTTAAAACCTTTCGAAAGTTTCGACGAACTAAATCGACTGATGACTCCTCAATCCGTACAGGCCTATAAGAAATTATACAGGTGCCGAAATTTTACCACTAATTTCTGGTTTTTAAGTCGGAGATTTATTCGTAACCGTTTTATTTATAGATCAGTGGAGGACATCGATCTGTTTACGGCTGGAGTATCGGAACGCTCTGTCCCTGACGGAACTCTGGGAGAAACCTTCGCCTGTATCGTAGGAGAACAGTTCAGAAGACTCAAATTTGGTGACAGATTTTGGTACGAGAACGGAAAGCTGGAATCCTCCTTTACTGACGGTTGGTACCTACACAAAGTGAGAGATAGATCGACGCACCACCGAAAATCTAAATATTAAATTGTATTGCTACAGATCAACTTGCGGAGATACGAAAAACCAGTTTGTCTAGGATCCTGTGCGACAACACGAAAGAATTTGATGCCGTTCAGCCCTTGGCATTTATTAGAGCTTCCAAATGGTACGAAATATAGAATTTCCTTTAGATTCTGAAATTGATGAAGATTCTAAATGCCCATTTTATCCGTTTTAGGAATCCTAGAGTTCCGTGTGATAGCGTGCAAATTCCTAGACTTAATTTTGCAAAATGGAAGAACGAGCCCGTTTGGTCATGAAGTTGAATGTACAGTACATTTATTTTGATATCAGTGCCATTAAAATACTTTCGGCTATATATACTGCGGAGATATTCTGCCATACGATTAGGGTGTGTTTTCGGTAGTTGAATTAGCAAAAAAAATTTCTCTTTCGGTATTTCTATAATTTTCTATCGTTTAAGTAATAAAGTAATATTTGTTGCGTTTATCTGCCGGGAATTTCGTTTTTCTAATAATTAAATTATTAGTAATTGAAACAATTCGTGATGTGTGTTCGTTAGAATCCATTGTGTTGTAGCTTGACCGAAACTCAGCACAAATATGAATTTACGTTGGCGAATTCTCCGACGGGACTAACCGCAAAAACGGAAAATGATCCAAAATCATAACAATGATAAAGAGAAAAGGAAAAAAACAAAAAGGAAACAAAGGGCGGTGAATTATTTACCGTAATGCATTGCATTTGATATTTCAGTTTTCATTTTCATTCTTTACCAATGTTACTAATAAGCGCTCCAAATGTAAATATGTTAGTAATAAATTAATAGATTCGTGTTTGCCCGTACCAAACTTTCGACATGTTAAAATAATTAATAATTTTCATTTTTCCTTAGTTCACCATAGTATTTTTCCCAGACATTTGTGAAAGTTTTGCGTGTTTGTCACTAGATGCACCTACACTATATTGAAAAATCCTTTCATTTATGTTATCGATAACTTTTTATTAAAAATTTAACAGTTCATTTTTATTTTCGTAATATATTATTAAAGTTTTCTCTCGTCAAACTTGCATTTGAATATTATTACTATACGTATTAATATACTTTTATTATCCAGAATGATGGATATAGTGCACAATTTGTATCCATCCTAATAGTGTAGTTTCTACAAATCAAGCTGTTTCAGTTACTGGCATATTTTATTTCTCTATTTTTGATCGGAAAAAGCAACACTTTTTTCCATTTTTCACAGTTATTAGCTTTCTATTACCTCTTAAAAGGACTTTAACAATCTTGTTCATAACATGACAAAGGTCAAACTGTAGTTTTCATTGTATATATTTTCACAACCAAAATTTTCACAAACAAATTATAACTATAATAAAAATACAAGAGCACTACTTATATTCTGCAAAATAAAAAACACTGTCCGAAAAAATCAACAACGTACTGAGCATGGTACAGTACAGTATGTATCAGACTGACCTGAGTACTGTACTGTACTGTACATTATAAATGAACAATCATATGGCTGAGAGTAAAGCCCTTCAAAACCTGGCTCGTACTTAGATTATAAAAATCTTGTTATATTGAGGGTTAAGTACTACACTTACCACTTTGATCTTACCTTCTTTATAATAATTAAATAAAATCTAAAAAATAGCTAAATTCGAGATGAAACAATCTAGATTTGTATCACTTATCTAATTGCCTAAATCTCAAACTAGATTTAGATGAGGAAAAATACATTCTAAGATGATAACACGGACCAACACATGATATAGACTTCAATATTTTGACTTAAAGTAAAATGGCGATCGATAGTACCCGTCGTTGCCACCAAGAGCGCTATATCTAAGGCCATAGCCACTCTATGTAGTATATTCTAGTTCGTTGATCTATACAACGATTCGAAGATAGCAAACAACTATGATAGCCTTTTTAACACTCAAATAACTAGGGTTGCCAGGCGTCCCGGTTTTCCGAGACAGCCCTTTTTTTAATGTTTTATTCCGCGTTCTAGGCAATTCTATCCTGGGATTGCACTTGTAGCGAAAAAGTTAGTTTCCTTTAAACAAAAATAAATTTATATGGCAATATTGCCTGCACTTTAACTTGGGATGATAGGAATGAAGATCGGAAAGATACGTAATGTATATTTTTTACCTCTTTGTCCTTATTATTTACATTTATGTGTATATATTGTCTACTTCAACTTTGTTTATTGATAGGACTTATTATATTGGTGGAGTTTGTGATTAGCAAAGAGAGGAAATCTTAGTCAAAAGTCAAAACAAAACATCAGATGAAAATAAAGATATTTTGTTTTGACTTTTGACTAAGATTTCCTCTCTTTGCTAATAAGAAATTTCACCAGTAAAATAAGTCTTATCAATAAACAAATTCGAAGTAGACAATATATATGTTACTGTGAATAGCCGATATCTGGTGAATGTCAACATTCTCCGGTGAATGTCAGCATTCACACAATCGTTTCGTATATGTACGAAATATTTGCTAAATATCATTATTTCTCACTTACACCGGCAAGTGTCGACATTCAGCATGCACTGATGGTGAATGTTGAATAAAAATATTTTTATTACGTTAAGACAAAAATGCAACTTTTTAATACGTAAAAATAGGAGGAAGCTTAAGTAACAGCACATTAAATAAACTGTTGAACCTAAAACGAACAGTACATTCTTAATCATTAAAGACAATACCTGTAATACAATAATAAACTTACATATAAATTATGTGATTAACGTTATACAATCTTATTTATTGCAACAACTTAAACTGTATGGCACTTTGAATTGCACAAGAGTCCCTTGCTTTTACAACTGCATTTATTCGTGGAACACTTCTTTTTGCAATGACAGCGTGTATAGCCTTGCCCTCCACTTTTCGAATTATCTGCAGCTGCTTCTCTCGCCGATATTTCTTGAGAATAAATATCATCTATGGAAAGTAACTTTTCTTACTTTCTTTTTCGAACTGATTACGTTATTACGGTGTCTTTTATTCAGATATCGCCGACGCCTTACCGACGACCCCTCTCATCCTCCGCCACTCGACCTGACAAACCGATCAAAAGAACAAAAACGCCATCCAGTAACAAAGTGAGCAGTTTCCACCAAACCATTGTCGGAAAAAGAGGTACGACCGTGTCCTACCTCCGACTATCCACAAAGTATTTGGTGATAGACTGTCTCCTCTCTGTCGACATCGGCTTCTCGGGTGTCGTTTCGACCTCCACCAAAGCTTATCTGTGCTTGTCGACATACAGCGGCGATTGTTCGAATGTATAATAATACAGTAGAACCTCNCGACCTGACAAACCGATCAAAAGAACAAAAACGCCATCCAGTAACAAAGTGAGCAGTTTCCACCAAACCATTGTCGGAAAAAGAGGTACGACCGTGTCCTACCTCCGGCTATCCTCAAAGTATTTGGTGATAGACTGTCTCCTCTCTGTCGACATCGGCTTCTCGGGTGTCGTTTCGACCTCCACCAAAGCTTATCTGTGCTTGTCGACATACAGCGGCGATTGTTCGAATGTATAATAATATAACCAAATATTCGGACTTTCACCTATGTATTTTGTATGTGTCGACATTCACCGGAGAATATCGACATTCTCTAATTTCGGTCTTTCATAGTAACATATACACAGATACGTAATGTGTATTTATATGGTTTTACTGTTATATTACAACAGTGCTAATACTGACGTTGAAACCTAGAATATTTTAATTGTATTCGCCAATAAGAAATTAAGAAAGGAAATGTCAATTTAAACTTGAATTGGAGAATATTTTTGGATACAGAAATCATCTAACAACAACTTCTGAAAAATATTTCTGTGTTGCTGAAAGTCCCGTTTTGAATTGAATGTCCCGGCCAAAGGGAGAAATCGCGTTTGAATGTTCCGAATCTAACAGTTTTCTATCTGTCAACACTATAGACAATACACAAACAAAAAAAAAAGCTATATCAATCCAAAAATATTTATAATGTAAGGAATGGCGATAAGGAGACTGATATAACTGATGTTTCACATCAGACAAGGATAGTAAGCGTAATTATTTGTCTTTAAATAGTACTTAATTAAAAAGTTATATATAACTATAATAATTATATTATAATATATAATCTATAGGCCTATATTATTTTAATTAATTACCATTTAAAGACAAATAATCCTTGTCTCATTTCAAGCGTATCAGTGATTTAATACAAAATAAATTTTCTGACTTCTTGTCGTCATTTCATTACTTTTATATTAAATCGTATTTGGGTATATATCTATTTCTCTTCTGGTTCACACTCCGGATAATCCTGTAAAGTTATAATTTTTTTCTCTTTCGTACTATCCCACTTGTCTCATTTCCTAGCAATAAGAATAGAATTCCGCAGATTGTGCCGAATATTTACGTTACTACAGTATGCCTCGAAATTTTTTCACGGCTCTAATAATAATCTAAACCCTTCGAATGGCTTGTAATTGCGTGACATTTTCTACTATGAACAGTACGCTATTCTGGAGAAGCTCTGTATTATGTTCTTTCTGAGAATCGACACGGCTTTGTAATTAATTACAATAAAGATTTTATCGTTAAGTATGGCCTGTCCAGACGTCTAAATCTTTCGCAATCGTCGTTATTGTCGATATGAAGGATAGTCTTGAACGTAGACTAACAGATGTAATGCGTCGTTACAGCTTCAAAAAGAATTCGTGACAGAATCGTTTATCTTCCAAAGAGAGAAAACGTACTGACATTGAAATACTTTCAAAAAGAATATAGGAGAGGATTATGCTTATCACAAAAATGAAAAACGAATTGATACAAATATGGCGGAAGACAAAGCGTAGGCCAACTTGCGATTTTATATTAATCTCCTGAATCTTAAAACTGAAATATTTTATTAATAAATTTAAAATCGATATTATAAACTTGAGGATAACTATTTCTCACGAAGGTAATTTAACACTCATTTTAATCACTCACTCAGCTGATTAATTTTTTATTTTTGTTATTGAAGGCGCTTACTGTCGAGTGAACGGTCAGATTCTGACCGTTCTACTCGTACAGTACTGTACATTACATGTTGAATTTTATTATATTTTATAATTGGAGAAATACTTTCTTATAAATATAAGAGAAATGTGTTTGGGTTTGATTATGTTTGTGGAGAAGAAAGTATGTTCAAAGTTCCTCACTGCCTTTTGATTAATTTTACGGTTAAGCTATTATTTTTCGTTTTCGTACACTGCATTGT